GCAATAGAGCACTTGCCTAGCATGTGTGAGGCCCTGGGTTTTAGTCTCAGTACTGCATGTAAATAAAATAAAGGTCCATTTACAACTAAAATAAATATATATTTTAAAAAAAGAAATCAATGGTAAAATAAAAGATGAAAGTTACTTCAACACCTGGAGACTAAATAATATGCTGCTGAATGAACAATGGGTTGCAAAAGACATCAAAGAGGAGATTAAAAGATTCTTAGAGGTGAATGAGAACACAAGGGCAATGTACTGAAATCTCTGGGACACTATGAAGGCAGTACTAAGAGGAAAGTTCATTGCATGGAGTTCATTCCTAAAAGAAGAAAAAGTCAACAAACAAATGACTTAACATTATATCTCAAAGCCCTAGAAAAAGAAAAATAAATCAACACCAAAAGCAGTAGAAGAGAGGAAATAATTAAAATCATAGTTGAAATCAATGAAATTGAAACAAAAGAAACAACTGAAAAAATTGACAAAACAAAAAGTTGGCTCTTTGAAAAAATAAATAAAATTGATAAACCTTTAGCCATGCTAATGAAGAGAAGAAGAGAGAAAACTCAAATTACTAACATCCATGATGAAAAAGGAAATATCATCCTGGACACTACAGAAATATAGAAGGTAATTAGAAATGATTTTGAAAACTTGTGTTTCAATAAAATAGAAAATATTGAAGGCATTGACAAATTTTAGAGTAATATTGAAGCAAGATTTGAGGATAGGTAGGTAGTGTAGTTAGGTAAATCGGGTCTAATATCTAGTAAGATAAATAAAATGGAGGCCATTATTGAGAATGGAGTCCAGGAAACCAGAGCAGCACTTGGGGAAATTGAAATGTTAATGTCCTCAAGGCCTGGAGCCCATCCTAAGGAACTGTTAATGAAACAGCTCCCAGCAAACAGGGAGGTGCTAATCAAAAGCTGCCCCAGGCCCTTCCTGCCCAGATTACTCCTTAAGCCCACCTATCTCCCACCTTTTGAGCCTACTCACCTGCATTCTATCACTTAAAGATAAAGGAAACAAAGGACAGGAGTGTGGGAAAGCTGAAAGAAGACCTTAGCTATAGAAAAGGAAAGACCTCCCCCTTCCACAGATTCCGCCTTTTGGGTCCTCTTCTTCCTCTGGGGAGAAGTCTTTTCTTCTGTCCTTTAATAAAGCTTCTACTTTCCACTCTATACTTGCCTCGGTGTGCTTCTCTGGTGTTATACTTTAGCATTTCAGGAAGCAAGGACTCGTCACTGTAAATGGCAGTAACAATATATTTGCCCAAATTGAATCAGGATGATATATACAATTTAAACAGATCAATTTCAAGTGATAAAATAGAAGACACCATCAGAAGCCTACCAACCAAGAAAATCCTGGGACCAGAGGGATACACAGCTGAGTTCTACAAGACCTTTAAAGAAGAAATAATACCAATATTCTTCAATTTATCTCAGGGAATAGAAAAAGAGGGAGCACTTCCAAACTCATTCTATGAGGCCAATATCACCCTGATTCCAAAACCAGGCAAAGACACATCAATGAAAAAAAACTTCAGACCAATATCTCTAATGACAATAGATGTAAAAATTCTCAATAAAATTCTGGCAAATTGAATACAAAAACATATCAAAAAGAATAGTGCACCATGATCAAGTGGAGTTCATCTTAGGGATGAAAGTTGGTTCAACATACAGAAATCAATAAATGTAGTTCATTACATCAATAGACTTAAAGATAAGAACCATATGATCATCTCAATAGATGCAGAAAAAGCATTCAACAAAATACAGTACCCCTTCATGTTCAAAACACTAGAAAAACTAGGGATAACAGGAACATATCTCAATATTGAAAAGCTATCTATGTTAAGCTCCAGGCCAACATCATTCTAAATGTAGACAAATTGAAAGCATTCCCTCTAAAAACTGGAAAAAGGCAGGGATGCCTTCTTTCATCACTGTTATTTAACATAGTTCTTGAAACAATTGCCAGAGCAATTAGACAAAAGAAATTAAAGAGATACACATAGGAAAAGAAAAATTCAAATTATCACTATTTGTTGATGATATGATTCTACACCTAGAAGACCCCAAAAATTCCACCAGAAAACTGCTAGAACTAATAAATGAATTCAGCAAAGTAGAAGGATACAAAATCAACACCCATAAATCAAAGGCATTTCTGTGTATCAGTGACAAATCCTCAGAAAGAGAAACTAGGAAAACTACCTCATTTGCAATAGCCTCAAAAAAATACTTGGGAATCAACTTAACAAAAGAGGTGAAAGATCATTATGATGAAAACAAAGCATGCTAAAGAAAGAAATTAAAGAAGACCTTAGAAGATAGAAAGATCTCCCTTATTCTTGGATAGGCAGAATTAATATTGTCAAAATGACCATCCTACCAAAAGAATTATACAGATTTTATGCAATTCCAATTATAATCCCAATGACATTCCTCATAGAAATAGAAAAAGCAGTCATGAAATTCATCTTGAAAAATAAGAGACCAAGAATAGCTAAAGCAATCCTTAGCAGGAAGTGTCAAGTAGGTGATATCGCTATACCAGACCTTAAACTATACTACAGAGCAATAGTAACAAAAACAGCATTGTATTGGCACCAAAATAGGCTAGTAGCCAATGGTACAGAGAATTACCCATATAATTACAGTTATCTTATATTAGACAAAGGCACCAAAAGCATACATTGGAGAAAAGATAGCATCTTCAACAAATGGTGCTGGGAAAACTGGAAATCCATATGTAACAAAATGAAATTAAACCCCTATCTCTCACCATTCACAAAACTCAACTCAAAGTGGATCAAGGACCTTGGAATTAAACCAGAGATCCTGCGTCTAATAGAAGAAAAAGTAGGCCCAAATCTTCATCATATTGGGTTAAGCCACTACTTCCTTAATAAGACTCCTATAGTGCAAGAATTAAAATGAAGAATTAATAAATGGGACGTATTCAAACTAAAAAGCTTTTTCTCAGCAAAAGAAACAATCAGTGAGGTGAATAGACAGCCTACAGCTTGGGAGCAAATTTTTATCACATGCACATCAGATAGATCACTAATTTTTAGGGTATATAAAGAACTTAAAAAGCTAAACATCAAAAAATGAAATAACCCAATCAATAAATGGGCCAAGGAACTGAACAGACATTTCTCGGAAGATGATATACAATCAATCAACAAATATATAAAAAAAAGTTCATCATCGCTAGCAATTAGAGGAATGCAAATCAAAAGTATTCTAAGATTTCATCTCATTCCAGTCAGAATGGCAGCTATTAACATACAAATAACAATAAGTGTTGGCGAGGATGTGGGGAAAAGGGCACACTCGTACATTGCTGGTGGGACTGCAAAATGGTACAGCCAATATGGAAAGCAGAATGGATATTCCTTGGAAAACTGGGAATGAAACCACCATTTGACCCAGCTATCTCACTCTTCAGTCTATACCCAAAGGACTTTAAAACAACATACTACAGAGAAACAGCCACATCAATGTTTACAGCAGCTCAATTCACAATAGCTAAACTGTTGAACGAACTTAGATGTCCATCAGTAAATGAATGGATAAAGAAAATGTGGTATATATATACACAATGGGATATTTCTTAGCAATAAAAACAAATTATGACATTTTCAGGTAAATGGAGTTGAAGAAAATAATTTGCTAAGTGAAGTTAGCCAACCCCCCAAAACCAAATGCTGAATGTTTTCTCTGATATAAGGAGGCTGATTCATAGTGGCGTTGGGAGGGGGGGGCATGGGAAGATTAGATGAACTCTAGATAGGCAAAGGGGAGGAAGAAAAAAGGAGGGACCAAGGGGTGTAAAAAAATGGTGGAATGAGATGAACATCATCTAAATGCATCTATGAAGACATGAATTGTGTGAATATACTTTGTATACAACCAGAGATATGAAAAATCGTGCTCTACATGTGTAATATGAATTGTAATGCATTCTGTCATATATAACAAATTAGAATAAAAATTATAAAAAAAGATTGGAGGATAGAAGTGATAAGGTTAACATGAATAATTATATCAAGATGGATCTGGGCTGAAGAGCAGAAAACTTGAATTAAAAGAAAATAATAATGAGAATGTCCATAAAGCATTTTAAAAATCTTCATGAATTTGTGACTTATCTCAAAAACATATATATATCTAGACATATATATATAGAGAGAGACATAGATTTACATATATTATGTTATATTCTGAGTTTATCTGCATTTATATCTATATTTCTATGAATAAAGTTTACATTCTATACTTCTCTTTTACTGATATAAAATATAGTTGGGTCTTTTAATTTATTATATTTCTTGTACTTCTATGAATAGGGTGAAAGAACGTGGCATCATGAAAAAAAAAAAAAAGAAAAAGCAAAGAAGAGTCAACTCTGGAAAGGAAATTTTCTCCTTAATTCTTTTGAGAAGAGATAGTAAAGGTGGTAAAGGAAGTTGAGCTCACTGCTCTGTTTAGTCACAATTCTTTTTTTTTTTTTTTCCCTGTGGTGCTTGGGATTAAACCCAGGGCCTCATGCATGCTTGTCAAGCACTCTACTATTGAGCCACATTGCCAGCCCACATCCTTTTTGGTGTGAATCACTTTATCGAAACACTTTCCTCTGTGACCTGGATTAAAAGACAGGCAGTGAGAAATGAATGGAGATGGGATAGAGAGGGATGAGGAGCCTTGGTGAAGTGTCTCAAGAGTAAACAGTTCTGCTAGTCCTGGAGAAAAATAAGCAGATTTTAGCCTCCTCAGAGGCCAAAAGAATGAACCAAAGTATTAAGATCAAACTATTTCCACTGTATTTCAATCTATTTTTCAACATTTCTTGTGAACCCCCTCCCAAATCGTTAATATGATAAAGTTGCTTTCATTAATACTAAGAAAATGTTTGAGGACTTCCAAAATAACATTTTGCCCATGATCCCATTTGAAATATTTTTTAAACCATAAATTTACCTGGAAATAGTTCTCAAGTTCCTTTGAAAGCAACTGATAGAAAAAGCTTTTTTCAGTGGCTTCAATTAAGCGATCATGAAACACCCGGGTGGCTTCATGAACAAAGAGTAGAGCAAGCATTTCTTTGGAGTTAATAATAGTCTTGTCAGCTTGTAGAATTCCTAGGAGAAGCTATTAGAGATTCAAAAATAAAATTTTATAAAGACATTAGTGGGATAGTATTTGAAGTAAAGACTCTGATTTTGCATGTTTATATTTCATAAAAATAGCAATTATCCAAGGTAAAAATTATCAGTTTCTACAATCGATAATCTGAATTTCTAATGAGACAAACATGTTATTAAGTCAAGGACAATAGGCACAGAATTGCCCTGAGTGGGAGGAGATTTAGGGAATCCTCAGCTACAACTAAGAGAAGGCTTGCTGGGATGAGCAACCACAAGTCTTAATTATGGTGCCAGCATGGAGGTGCTGGAGATGGGAGAAAAATGCTTTTAAATGTTGATGGGTTCAGCATTCTAAATGTAAGGACCATAATGTGGTAGTTATGGATGAAGTCCCATAGTAAGGGGAGAAAGCAAATTCAAGAATTGGGTTTTTTTTTCAAACATTGCAATTTTGAAAATTATTTAACCAAGGTAGATGACTAAATCAGCTTTGTTGCCAAAATCTGTGAAAATTTAAACATGTTTATGATATGCATATGTTTTGGGTAGTCACAATGAAATCTCAGAAATGAAGCAAGACCAAAATTTACATTGTAATCTTTTCTTTTCCTGCTGAGAATCTCAGGCAATATTCTAACAGTTTCAGTGGTCTCTTTATTGAACTCTCTTCTTGGGATTATTAGAAAATTTCTTTTCAACTTATTCATTGGATGAACTGCTAATATATAGAAAACCCAAACAACATGAATTTTGCTTTTATTGACAATACCAACAAGAAAGGAGAGAGAGCAGGGGAGGGGGAGAGATTCAGTTTAGTAAAATTACATCTCCTCAACTTAAAATTTAAAAATAAGCTGTAGAACTAATATTAAAACACACCTTAAACACGTCTCGAAGATTAAACATGTAGTGGCATTTTGTTGGAGTCGGTAACATACACTTACACACTTGGTAGTACATAGTGAGGGAACAAGATATTATCTGATCCTTATATTTCTGAACATCAGGTGAGAAGTTATTGATGAAGAAATACATTGCCAAATGAGCCTTTAAAAAGAAGTTTTATAATTTAGTTTTTTAAAAATTTTAAGTATAGACTATTTCTGGCTAAACTCTACTAAGAAGCCTACTCAGTGGAAGATTAATTTCTTTAGAAATGTTAAAAATTCCCAGTTGGTCCTAGTTTGGTGCTTGATCTAGAAGCATGTCGAATGTGTCCTCCCTCTGGAGACAATTTGTGCTCCACCTCTGTGTACATCAGGTGTGCTGACAATTATTCCATTTCCTTGTGCCCCAGTAGATGCTACTAAAGGAAATGTAACATGATAGAACTATTATGTTAGTTTGGATTGGTATACATGTATGCTTTCTTCTGGGAATTCTGAAATATCTTACTGGAAAAATGGCTGAACTTGAAATCTAGTTTGATAGGAAAATAAATTTTATGCAAGATTATTACATTCTTTAAAATTCATCTTGCATTTTCCTTTACAATATAAAATTTAAAGATAAAATTTTACATCAATTTTTCAAAAAGTCCCTGGTAATACTGCTGCAGGGATCAATAGCCCACAAATGGGGTAAAGGTTCTTGTAAACAAGAAAGTATACATGTACGCCAATCCAGACTGACATAATAGATCTTTTGATGTTTTTTTTGTTCTACAATAAAATGAGGGACTGGGGTGTTTCAGTGGTGGAACTCATGCTTAGTATGCACAAGATCCTAGGTTCAATTCCTAGCACACATATGTGTGTGCATGTGTGTGTGTGTGTGTAGGTGTGTGCATGCATACACAAAGAGCAAAATTCTCAGAGAATAAAGTCCTGTGATCTCTGGGTTTCTTATACACACTGAATTATATTTTTGATATTTACAGACATTATAACAATAGACTAGAAAATAGAGGGGGAAATAAAATCTATTCAAAGTGGTTTTAAGTTCTCACAAATGTTTCTTACACCATGAAATTAATATTTTTCATTAGAAAATGAACTGGATGTGTTACCTGGAAAATAGTCCGCAGGGCACTCTGTGGAGGATGAGGCAATACCAGGATGGAAAAGTGCTTGAGGAGACGTGGGCTAATGTTGTTTTTACCGATTGGAGGAACACAGGCTGCAACTATAGCATGATCTTGAATATTCTGAAAGAGTGAAAGAAGAATAGTAACTAAATGCATCTGTAGGAAGTGAAATAAATACTTTCCTGTCCCAAATGGACAAAAGATTTTAAAAATATTTGGGTGAAAATATTAAGATTACTATATACTGCAAAACAAAAATTGCAATAGAAATTTATGTTCTTAGAAGTTACCTATTCTAAAGTGTAATTTCACGATGTTACTTCTTGCAGGCTTTCTAAAGTCATCAGGAATATCTCTCCCCTCCCTGTAAAGCAACTACTAGAAATTATGAAACTCCTAAAAAAAACCAGGGCAATGTTTTATGCATAACATTATCTTGGGCAAGGATTTTGGGGTTAAGACTTCAAAACCCCAAGCAACAAAAGCAAAATAAACAAATGAAATTGAAGAAAATGGAAAAGTTTCTGCACAGAAAAACAATTAGTCAGTGGAATTAAGAAACAACCTATAGAATGGGAGAAAATATTTACAAACTATGTCTCTGACAAGGGATTAATATCCAGGATATATAAGGAACATCTCAGTGGCAAAAATTCCCAAATAATCCAAGTTTAAGAAGTGGACAAGAAGTTCAACAAACGAAAATACACCACACATCACTGATCACCAGGAATATGCAAATGAAAGCCATAGTGCAACATCATTTTACTCTGGTTAGAATGCATATTACAAAAAAAAAAAAGATAAGAAAAAGCAAGTGTTGGTAAGGTTGTGGAGAAAGGGGTACTCTCATATGCTATTGTGAGGCTGTAAATTAATGCAGATATCATGGAAAGCAGTATGAAAGTTCCTTAAATATTAGACCCAGTTATCCCACTCCTCATCATATACCCAAAGGATTTAAAATTAGCATACTATGGTGACACAGCCACATCAATGTTTATAGTAGTACAATTTACAATAGCTAAGCTATGGAACCAGCCTATATGTCCAACAGATGAATGGCCAAAGAAATTGTGGTATATATACACAATGGAATATTACTCAGCCACAAAGAATGACTTTATGACTTTTGCCAGTAAATAGATGGATCTAGATAATATCATGCTAAGTGAAATAAGCCAATCTCCTAAACCAAAGGTCGAATGTTTTTGCTGACATGTGGCAGCTAAACCATGATTAAACAGGTAGGGAGAGGAGAGAAATTCAGTAGATTAGACAAAAGAGGACAAAAGGAAAAAGGGGGGATTCGAATAGGAAAGATGGTAGAATAAATTTAGCATAATTTTCCTATATACTCATAAGAAAATATCTAAGTGAACCATATCATTGTGCCTGCCCATAAGAATAGGGTCCTAAGTAAAATAAGATATAGTGCATGCTTTTATAATTTTATCAAAATTGATTCTACTGGCATATATAACTAAGAAGAACCAACAAAAAAATTTAAAATAGGGGCTGGGATTGTGGCTCAGTGGTAGAGTGCTCGCCTAGCATGTGTGAAGCCCTGGGTTTGATCCTCAGCACCACATAAAATTAATTAAATAAATAAAATAAAGATATTATGTCCAACTACAATAAAACATAACTAAAAAATAAATATTTTAAAAAACTAAAAATAGAATTATTATATGTGTAAGCAATCCCACCATTGAGTATATATATATTCAAAAGAAATTAAATCAGTATGTCAAAAGTGTATCTGTGCTCCTGTGTTCATCATAGAACTATTCACAATAGCAACAATATGCAATAACTCAAGTGCCCATCCATGGATAAATGGGTGAAGAAAATATGGTGTATATACACAATGAGATAGTATTCAGTCTTAAAAAAAGGAAATCTTGTTGTTTGCTACAAATGGATGAAACTGGATAATATTATGCTATGTTAAATAATCCTAGCACAGAAAGACAAATACTGCTGCATGTTCTTACTCATTTGTGGCATCTAAAAAAGGTGATCTCACAGAAGACTGTGGAAGGTGCCAGGGAGCAGGAAATGAGAAGAGAATGGATAGCAGGTAAAAAGTTATAGAAAGTAGGAATAAGTTCTGATGCTCTGTTATATAGGTCACTATAGTTAACAATAATATAATGTATATTTTGAAATTGCTAGAAGAGAGAATTTTGAATGTTTTTACCACAAATGATAAATGTTTGAGGTGATGGATGTAATTATTACACATTGTATAAATGTATTAAAACAACCCACTGTGACCCATAAATATACGCAATTATTACATGTGAATTAAAAATGATAAACAATCATTAGAAAATAGCAGTGTGTTTTTGAGATTAGCAAAGAGGATTTTGGTGATAAGTGAGAAATCAAAAGATCCAGTTGAGTTGTGTCTTCAGCATGATCAGATTGACTTGGAGTGAAAAGATGCTTAGCTGTTAATATAATAACGGCCATTTGACATGTTCTTACAATATCACAGCACTGTAAAGCTGGGTGAAATGATGAAAAGAATCTATGTAGAGTCTCTGAAACACATGGACCTATTCTAAATTGCAAAGATGTAATTGACATGATTAATTTAGGCTCTTAGACTCATTTTAACATGTCCATATGGCTATACTGTCTAGATTTCTCACTTAATTTACTTCACACTGCTACAAATGTTTAATTTATTGTTAAATAACAATATTTAATGTGAACAAAATCTTAGCATATACTTTACCTTCCATACATTTCTTTTAGTATCATAAACCCCTCCCATGTCTAACAATTGTCTGATCAGTTCCAGTGGTGGCTGTGCTTCATACATATCAGATCCTGGAGTATTCATGTCATCAATAAATATTATAATCTTAAGGAAAACAAAATGTTTTAAAGCATATCAACTTGTAGTACCTTTGTTTAAAGTAAGAATTAGAAATATTAATTACGCTATGGAATAAGAACAAAATTATACATAATATCATGTCTATTTTTTTCTATTAAAATAGAATACCAAGTTCTATTTTTGAAGATAAGATCTTAGAAAACAGTAAGTTTTCAGAGTAATGAAAAATCTGCTCACCCTCTATGGACTTCTAATAATTATGTCTGATGATAGAAATATATTTGATGCTAATAATCTAATTGTGTAATTGTACAAAGGAACAGGCCTATTACTTATTAAGTATTTACTTATTGATCGCATTTACTTATTATTGGCAAGGCACTATCATAGATGTCTAGCTATTTATTTCATATGTACTCTCATTTGGGAATAAGCCTATCACCTGGAACTAGACTTTTAAAATTCTCCTACAAATGCTGTTGTCAAGAACAACCAGCAGAATATTCAGACACAATTCCAACTTTTAAGCTTGTGTTACTTTCCATCTTTGAAAATATTATGTGCTGAAATATACTGATTAAAATCTCTGCGCATTAGGCCCTTTAGATTAACTAGTTAATTGTCTTTTTTGCAAGACAAGTAACTAGTTAAAAAATACAAATAGCTCTTTACTTTGAATTACCTAATTATCTAATTTGTAATGGTCCATATAATTTTTAGTAAGACACCCAGTTTCCCCTCTTTTGTATCACAAACTAAAATTTTCTTGCTTGCTAGTGGTGCAATTAGGTACTATTATCTAATCTAACTGGGCTATTATTAACCTTTTCAAAATCTCTAAAGTTTACCTATGAAGGCAAAGATCTACCAAGATCATCTAAATCATCAGTTAAAAATCAGGAAATCTGAAGCAAACCCTTAAAAGCTCTTGAAATTGATATCGTAGGAATTACCCCTTTGCTTATTTTATGGTATTGAATTGGAGTCAATGTAAATGTCTATTGTGACAGAGAATTTGGTTGAATAAATGGGCAGTCATAATTTGGATATGGAATATCCCCCCAAAGCTCAATGGTCCCTAATGAAGCAATGTTCAGTAGTGGGGCTTTTCAGAAGTAATTGGATCATGAGGGCTTTAACATCATCAGTGGATTCATCTATTAATAAATTCATACTCTGAATGGATACTGGGAGGTGGTGGAACTTAGTTGGAGGGAGCAGGTCTTTGGGGGCATGTCCTGTTGGACTCTATCTTGTCCTGGCCTCTTCTGTTGTCTCTGCTTCCCAGAGGTAAACAGCTTTCCTCTGCTATACCCCTCTGCTCAGAAGGACTATGGACTAAAACCTCTGAAACTAAAACCTCTGAAACCATGGACTAAAACCTCTGAAACTAGGAGCCAAAATCAATCTTTCCTTCTAAGTTGTTTTCCCAGATTTAATTTTTTTTAATCCCAGTGATAAAAAGCTAACATACTTATCCAGGTAGACAGAGGGTAAGAAAAAGAAATACCCAACACCATTTTAAGAAACAGACAGGTGAGCTCTGTGGTGCATGTCTATAATCCCGGATACTCAGGAGGTTGAGGCAGAAGGATCACAAGTTCAAGGCCAGCCTGGGCAACTTAGTAAGATACTATCTCACAATAAAAAAATGAAAAAGGTTGTGGATGTAGCTCAGTGACAGAGCACTTGCCTTGCATGTGTGAAGCCCTGGGTTTGATCCTCAGGAAAGAAAGAAAGAAAAAAAGAAAGAAAGAAAGAAAGAAAGGAAGGAAGGAAGGAAGGAAGGAAGGAAGGAAGGAAGGAAGGAAGGAAGGAAGAAGAAAGAGGGAGTTGTTACAAGGCTCTTCTCTTGTTACCACAAGGTTAGCATCTAACCCATTTTCCAGTATTCTTATCTTTATTCAGATTTCAGTGGTTTCTTTTGGCCTTAGTAATTCTCAATCAGTATTATTCTCCATGTTGGAAAATTGAATTATATTGATTTGAAAACCGGAGTTTCCATTATAAAGTGCATATTCTAGGAAAGTTCAGGAGCATGTGGTATAACAATCTTTTTACTAATATTAATTAAAATAAATTAATTTATCATTTGAATAGCATAGCCAGATTATTTAACAGGGAGGGAGGGAAGTATTTTACCCTGCTGTTTTTAGGTGCTCCAAGAGTGTCTTTGTTTTTTCTCACTAACTTTTTAAGAATCATCTCCTTCATTTTGGCAACTGTCATATTGGTGCTAAAATTTATTGCAGAAACTATAATTCCTTTATGACTTTCATCAGTTTTATCATACAGCTTCTTAGTAGTATTATCTATGATGCCAAAAAAAAAGACAGACAAATTGAGAACACTTTAAGAATATTTTTGTTTTAGGCTGTTCAAACATTTGAAAATTATATAATTTTACTATTTTGTTGTCTTTTCCAAAAAACTATTCTGAGAGGAGGAACACCAATTTAGGAATGTTTCCTTACTTTTTCACAGTAAACAGTATCTCTCTGCAACCATAGTCAAATGTAACCATATGAAAGCTCAGAGACCCTCTTCTCACTTATGCATGTTAGTAGGTAGACAGAACTTCTTAAGATCTAAAAGCAGCATGCAGCTAGATCTAGCAAATATATAAAAATTGGAACACATTCCCTGAGGGAGGATCATCCAGAGGGTAATTTGGGATAGTACTATAGCAGCTTAAGAACAAAATGTCTTCTGGCAGGACCTGATGACATGGCTCCCTTTCATTTTCCATAGCTACCTCAGGAGAGCCCCATCTTTTCTTCTTGAGAAGTGGAGTTGTTGCTCCATAAATTAGTAAATCAGAATTTTCAAGGATGAGGCTTCTGAAATTCCATGTATGTCTGTATCACATGGCCTGATTTGAGAACTTATAGAATCATAATTTTCTATTGCATTATGTTTAAAACCATGAAAGTGTGTTCAGTTACTTCTAGATTTCATCTGAGTTCATTGACAAAGGAGGTAAATCTTCTCTACTGTCTCTCCTCTATCTTTTGAAGAGATTAGAACAATTTGAGAGAGTACTGGGTATTTTTTGAGGACTTTTTAATATTAAATTATCAATTTGAATTTTTCCTTCTGAGATTTCTAAAAGAAATGACTTACATACAGTTGAGATAGAGAACTTTTGAAACTGTATTAATACATACCATGTTTTCTACTTGATATCTTATGGGTTTCAGTAAACAAGACGCTGATGTTCTGCTTTAGGCTATTGAATCAAATGTTTTAAAGGTTCAAAATTAGTTTATTTACAATTATATCTATATTTAAAAAATGAAATAACAACATGTGGCTGATTTTAGTTGTATCCTCTATAAGAAAACAGTCCCCCTATCCTCCATCCCCATTCATATTTTTACAGATAAAATTAGTATCCACGTTGAAACTGAAACTCAAACTTAACATGGACTTACTTAAAAATGAACTGGGCAAATTCTTAGGATGCCAAATTATTGGTGTTTTCTAAAGGTAGTAAGCCATTACCTCCCTTCTGTCTTTATAAAATGTTTGCCTTATGGATCATACAGTAAAAGACTTGTCTTTATTTTCATCTTGTATTTAGGTGTTTGATTTTTGTATGTTTGACAAAATAGTATGTCTTAATAAAGATCCAATTCACTATTAAGCATACCTATTTATTTTTTTAGACTCTTATTATTCGTATTATTTAGATCAGGAATGATTTCTATTGTATTAAATGCTTAAGAAAGTTATCTCTCTAAATTTTAAAGGCCTTCTTGAAGTGCAGTAAGAGTCTATTCTAAAATAATTAGTAGTGTAAGATGTAGATGATGGTGGCTTGGAAACAGGAGAATTAGAGCAATTTGTGACATGTGTAAAGACAGAAGATTCGAATAATAGGAGACAGAATGTGGGTAGTGAGAATGGAGATACAATGATTGTAATTGATCAGAAGGAACTTTAAAGATGGATAGGAAGAAACTCAAGGATGATTCCTAGGTGTTAAGCTTGAGTACCTAGTCTTTTCTGTTAAAGTAAAGAACAGTGGAGGAATATAGATTTGGAAGAGAAATTAAGAGTTATGTTTTGGATTTGTGAAGGTTGAGATGTTTATGGGATATCCAAGTATGTACATGACATAGACAGCTGGCTATCTGACTTTCATGATTAGAGGAAAGGTCTTATGAACCTCTCCAAGATTTTGTCTTCTTATTCAATTCAAAAGCAATAGGCTTCTTTAATATTTTAACAGAACCAGAATTAACTTTAGAAATTTGCACTTTTTATTTGTATAATTCAGAGTTCCTTTTTCCTCTCCTTTTAGGAAGAGGCAGACAGAATACAGAATGACAGAGATAAAACTTTTCTTTACAAAAGTCTTTTTGTATTTGTTAAGTAGCTCATATATTTCTAGTACAACAAAACAAATGTTATACAAAACTTTATTTGCATCTATTAGGCACATTTTTTTCTAGGAGAAAAATTATTATTGCTATCTTTTATGCTATATAAAAATTGAGATTTTAGATTTATTTATATTTAAAGTATATGTAAGAATTCCTTATTTAAAGGAATGAAACTAGTTGTTCATAATTTGAAGATTTTCCTTTAAGTAGAAAATCTCAGTAGACCAACAACAAGCAAGGAGATTGAATCAGTAATAAGACTCCCATCAAAGAAAAGCCCAGACTTGGATATTTCAATATTGAATTCTACCAATTATTTAAGGAGGAACTAATATAAATCCTTCTCAATCTCTACCAGAAAAGTCAAGAAGGAGGAATATTTTAAAACTCATTTTACAAGGCTAGCATTAACTTGATCCCAAGGCCAGAACATGATACTATAAGAAAATTAGAGGTACTAACTCTGATGAACACATATGCAAAATCTTAATAAAACTAAATTCAACAGCACATTATAAAGACCATTCAACATGATCAAGTGGATTTATTCCTGGGAATGCAAGGATGGTTTGACACACACAAATTAACAAATGAAGGACAAAATTATAATATGGATGCAGAAAAAAACTCAAAACATTTCAAAAAGTTCAATACTTTCTCATGATTAAAAACTCTAGAGAATTAGGCATAGAAGGAGTGTATGTCAACACAATAAAGTCCACATGTGAAAAGCCCCCAATTAACATCAGTCTGAGTAGTGAAAAGCAGAAAGATGAGGATACCCATTCTTATCACTTTTTTCCAATATGGTACTGAAAGTCTCAGAGAAATTAATCAAGATAAAATAAAGGCATCCAAATAGGAAAGGAAGAAGTAAAACTGTTTCTATTTGCTGATGACATACATTTTATGTAGAAAACCCTGAAAATCCACCATAAAACTGTTGGAATTGGTAAGTGAATTCAGTAAAGTTACAGGATACATAATCAAGACACAAAAATCATATTTCTATATTTCTATACATTAGCAGCAAACCATCTGAAAAAGATAAATAATCCAATATATAATGTCATTAAGATAATTAGGAGTAATTATTCAACTAGGAGATGCAAAATCTATACACTGAAAACTTAAAAAAATTTTCCTGATGAGGAAAATTGAAGAAAATACAAATAAATGGAAACATATTTTGAATTCATGGATTACAAGAATTAACATTGTTGGGCTGGGGTTGTAGCTCAGTAGTAGAGCACTTGCCTAGCATGTATCAATTCTCAATACTGCATATAAGTAAATAAAATAAAGGTCCATTGACAACTAAAAAATATTTTAAAAATTAACATTGTTAAAATGTCCACATTATCTAAAGCAATCTACAAAGTCCAATGTCATGTTTCATTTTTCCTATAGAACTGCAAAAGACTCCAAATAGTCAAAGCAGTCTTGAGCAGAAAGAAAAAAGCTGGAGGCATCACACCATCTAATTTCAAAATATGCTATAAATGCATAGTGATCAAGCCAAAGTAATAGTAACATAAACACATACACAATGAGAAATGGAGCAAAGAGCCCATAAATAAGCTCAGACACTTATGGTGAATTGATTTTTGATAAAGATGCTAGAGACACATAATGGGGAGATGAGAGTCTCTTCAATAAATGGTATCATGAAAACTAGATATCCATATGCAGAAGTATGAAATTGGACCATTATTCACAACTTATACAAAAATCAACTCAAAATGAACTAAAGACCTAAATGTCACATCTGAAACTATTAAAGTACTAGGAAAAAAAAACTATAAAGAGTATTGGTCGGGGCAAAGATTTTTTATATAATCCCCAAAGCATAGCAACAAAAGCAATAGAAAAATGGGAATGCATCAAATTAAAATGCTTTTAGGGCTCAGGTGGGTTATGGCTCAGTGGTAGAGTGCTTTCCTAGCACGTGTGAAGCACTGGATTTGATCCTCAGCACCACATAAAAACAAATAAAATAAAGGTACTGTGTCCATCTACAACTAAAAAAAATAATTAAAAAACATTAAAATGTCACCCTGATTCCAAAACCAGACAAAGACACCTAAAAGAAAGAAAACTTCAGACCAATATCTCTAATGAATATAGATGCAAAAATCCTCAATAAAATTCTGGAAAATTGGATACAAAAACATATCAAAAAGATCGTGCACCATGGTCAAGTGGGATTCATCCCCAGGGTGCAAGGTTGGTTCAACATACAGAAATCAATAAATGTAATTCATCACATCAATGGACTTAAAGATAAGAACCATATGATCATCTCGATAGATGCAGAAAAAGCATTTGACAAAATACATCACCCCTATATCTTCAAAACACTAGAAAAACTAGGGATAACAGGAACTTACCTCAACATTGTGAAAGCTCTCTATGCTAAGCCTCAGGCCAGCATCATTCTAAATGCAGAAAAACTAAAGGCATTCACTTTAGAATCTGGAACAAGACAGGGATGCCCTCTCTCACCACTTCTATTCAACATAGTTCTTGAAATACTGGCCAGAGCAATTAGACAAACAAAAGAAATTAAAGGAATAACTATAGGAAAAGAAGAACTTAAACTAGCACTATTTGCTAATGATATAATTCTATACTAGAAGACCCAAAAAACTCTACCAAGAAACTTCTAGAACTAGTAAATAAATTCAGCAAAGTGGCAGGATATAAAATCAACACCTATAAATCAAAGGCATTTCTGTATATCAATGACAAATCCTCTGAAAAGGAAATGAGGAAAACGACTCCACTTACAATGTCCTCAAAAAAATAAAATACTTGAGAATCAATCTAACAAAAGAGATGAAAGATATTTACAATGAAAACTATAGAACCCTAAAGAGAAATAGAAGAAGACCTTAGAAGATGGAAAGATCTACCTTGCTCCTGGATAGGCAGAATTAATATTATTAAAATGACCATACTACCAAAAGCACTATACAGGTTCAATGAAATTCTGATCAAAATCTCAATGACATTCCTCATAGAAATAGAAAAAGCAATCATTAAATTCATCTGGAAAAATAAGAGACCCAGAATAGCTAAAGCAATTCTAAGCAGGAAGAGTGAAACAGGTGGTAAGGCTATACCAGACCTTAATCTATACTACACAGCAATAGTAACAAAAACAGCTTGGTACTGGTACCAAAACAGGCTGGTAGACCAATGGTACAGAATAGAGGACACAGAGACTAACCCACAGAATTATAACTACCTTATATTAGACAAAGGTGCCAAAAGCATGCACTGGAGAAAGGATAGCATCTTCAACAAATGGTGCTGGGAAAACTGGAAATCCATATGCAACAAAATTGAAATTGAAACCCTATCTCTCACCATGCACAAAAGTTAACTCAAAATGGATCAAGGATCTAGGAATTAAACCAGAGACTCTGTGTCTAATAGAAGAAAAAGTAGGCCCCAATCTCCATCACGTGAGGCTAGGTCCCAACTTCCTTAATAAGACGCCTATAGTACAAGAATTAAAACCAAGAATCAACAAATGGAATGGATTCAAACTAAAAAGCTTTTTCTCAGTCAAGAGAAATAATATGTAAGGTGAATAGGGAGCTTACATCTTGGGAACAAATTTTTACCCCTCACAAATCAGATAGAGTGCTAATCTCTAGGGTATATAAAGAGCTGAACAAGATAAGCACCAAAAAACCCCAAACAATCCAATCAATAATGGGCCAAGGACCTGAACAGACACTTCTCAGAAGAGGATATACAATCAATCAACAAATATACGAAAAAATGCTCATCATCTCTAGCAATCAGAGAAATGCAAATTAAAACTACTCTAAGATACCATTTCACTCCAGTAAGAATGACAGCCATTAAGAAGACAAACAACAAGTGCTGGTGAGGATGCAGAGAAAAAGGTACACTCATACACTGCTGGTGGGACTGCAGTTGGTGCAGCCAATTTGGAAATCAGTATGGAGATTCCTTGGAAAGCTGGGAATGAAACCACCACTTGACCCAGCTATTTCTCTTCTTGGACTATACCCAAAGGAACTAAAAATAGCATACTACAAGGACATAGCCACATTAATGTTTATAGCAGCACAATTCATAATAGCTAAACCGTGGAGCCAAACTAGATGCCCTTCAATGAATGAATGGATTTAAAAAAATGTGGCATTTATACACAATGGAATATTACTCAGCACTATAAAATAATAAGATCATGGCATTTGAAGGAAAATGGATGGCATTAGAGCAGATTATGCTAAGTGAAGTTAGCCAATCCCCCTGCAAAAATGCCAAATGTCTTCTCTGATATAAGGGGGGTGACTCAAAATGGGGTAGGGACGAAGAGCATGGGAAGAGGGGTGGGAGGGAAAGGGAGGGAGAAGGGGAATTGCATGGATGGTGGAAGGAGACATCATTGTTGTACAAAATACATGTATGAAGATGTTAAAAAAAAAGAAAAGAAAAGAATTTCTTTTCTTTTCATGAAAAAGAAGACTCAAAATCAGAATGCATGTTTAGGCGTTATGTTCACAGACTTTTTTTTCTTTTTTTTTTAGCACCTAATATATGTTTGTTTTTACATCATCAAAATTATTTCACCTCTATCCAAGAAATGCTATCATATAAATTAGGGAAAATTTTGGAAGCTAGAGAGGAAAAAGGAAAAGAAATATGGGGGAATCTCAATAAAATCAATGGGAAATCAGCAGAATAGAGGAAAGGGATCAAAGGGAGGGAGGACAGGAAGGAAAGGGGAAGTACTTCGAAATGATATTGGCCAAATTATATTGTTGAATTGTGTGCATGTATGAATATGTAATCACGAATCTCACCATTATGTATCATTATGTAATTATGTGCATTACACAATTACAATGCACCAATAAAATATGAAAAAAACATTAAAATGCTTTTATACAACAAAAGAAACAACAGAATGAAGAAACAACTTATGGAATTGAAGAAAATATTTTCAAACCATACATTTGAGAAGGAGTTAGTATCCAAAATATATAAGGAACTCAAACTACTAGATGAAAAGAAAAGTTAAAAAATGGTCACAACTCATTTCACAAAAGAAGACATACAAATAGCCAATTGGTTTATGGGAAAATATTCAACATCATTAGTCATCAGGAAAAGGAAAATCACAAGGACTGTGGAAGAAAAGGAACCCTTGTACACTGTCCATAGAAATGTAATTAGTATAGACATTCTGGAAAACAGTATGGAGGCTCCTCAAAAAACTACATCTAGAATTACTATATGATACAGCAATCCCATTTCTGGGTATATACCCCAAAGTACTGAAATCAGTATGTTGAATAGACATCTACATTTCAATGTTCACTGCAGCATTACTTACAATAGCCAAGATATGGCACTAACCACTAATCAGTGGATAAATGGATAAATAAAATGTATATATACAAAATGGTATACTGTTCAGCCTTAAAAAGGATGAAATCTTGTCATCTGTGACAACATAGATGAACCTGGAGGACATTATGCCAAGAGATACAAGTCAGGCACAGAAAGACAAATAGTGCATAATCTCACTTATATTTGGAATATAAAAAAGATGAAGCAAAGGATAGAATGGTGGTTTCCAGAGGTAAGGAGGTGAGGTGGGAGGGAACGGTCAGAGAACAACGTTCAGTTAGATATAGGAATAAGATTTCAAGGTCTCTTGCATAGTGATGATTACAGTTAATACTAATGTATTGCCTATTTCGATATAGCAAATAAAAAAAATTTAAATGTTCTCACTCTAAAAAATAGTAGTGAGGTGATAGATGTGTTAATTAGCTGAAGTAATAATTTCATAATGCATATCAAAACATAACACCCCACAAATATAAACAATTATTATTTTTAAGTGAGAGCATTTAAATTGAAAACATAAAGGGGAGATTAGGAAAATTCTTCTTTTGAATAACTCTGCATTTTTATATAATAGATTTACTTTTTTTAGTTTAATAAAAGTAACATTTGTTACAAAACATTGAGAAAATAATGATAACCAGAAAAAATTACTCATGGTCTTAACATTTTGGTGCATATTCTTTCAGGCTTTTTTCTTTGCATATATTTTACACACATAGTTTATATATCATTCTGTAATTTTGCCTTGTGACTTTTTTATTACATAGAAATATATATGGGGCTGGGGTTGTAGCTCAGTGGTGGAGCACTTGCCTAGCACATGTGAGATTCTGGGATTCTGGGTTCGATCCTCAGGACCACATAAAAATAAATAACTAAATAAAATATTATTCTGTTATTATACCTAATTAAAATACATAAAAAATTTATTAAAAATAAAGGTATAAAATAAAAGAAATATATCATGATGGAATTTCAGGCAACTCATTGCATAGATTTGCTTTTTAAAAACAAGGCACATATATGTTAAGGCCAACATTTTTTTATAAATAGAATCTAAATAATAGATGAATAAAATTTAAAGTTTAATATATATACAACCTTGATTTTTTGATCTCATTATGTAATAGGACATCTCCTAAAATTGACCCATATTTTATATCAAATGCTCCGGAGTTCTCTAACTTTTCAAGCATTTGGTTAATGGTAGCAGTTTTCCCAACACCACATTCTCCTAAGAGGGAAAAATATTTTAGGTTAGAATTACATGCCAGAAAATGACATATGTTAACATATTAAAATGAACTAATAGTGCAACAGACCTGGTTTATTGGGATCCCCAGAGTTAGACCTCTAGCCTAGGTGTCTGAGGAAACAATAGCATTTTCCTTCATCTGAAATTTACATGAAAAGTATGTTTTTGCTTTTCCCTTTTTAAAATGTGATACTGGCTAGGTAAGTGAGTTAATATGTATCCTTCTCAGAGTCTACATTATTTACATATTTTACAAAAGAATAGATAAGGAGCTAATGGGGTTTTAAAAATTTGTTATTTTTATATATACATGACATGACAGTAGAGTGCATTTTGACATACATACATGTAGTACAACCCATTCCAATTAGGATCCCATTCTTGTAGTTGTACATAATGTGGAGTTACACTAGTCATGTATTCATTTAAGAGCAAAGGAAAGTTATATCTGATTCATTCTACTGTCTATATATTTTTATCTAATGTTCATTAAGCCCATCACAAATTGTTTTGCCTATAGCACACTAGAAATACTACATGAAATAAAATTCCTTGACAACATTTGCTAAGACAATCGGAGGGAGAAATCTGATGATAAATTCTTTATTGAGGCAGAACAGGGACTCATGACTTGATAATTCACTAAATAATAATTCCTTAGATGAAATTAAAGGCAAGCTATGGTTACCTGAGAGTCACCTTGCTGGAATTCTTTGAATATGGAACTGGGAAAATGGTACTACTTGCCTCTGGTGATGGACCATATAAGTTAGAAAACTGGAAAAGGTGATTAAGTTGAAATAAATGTTCAGAAACAATGGAAGCTATAGAGTGATTCCTTTGGTAAAAGTAAAAAAGTGAAAAATTTAGCTTCCGGTTGAGGAATTACATGTGTAGATTTAATTAAACCAATCAATGTTACCATTAGTGGACCTCCAAGGACCTCAGCCCACAGGCTATGGAGACCAGTTATATATTTACCCAGCAGTTCTACTGCTAGAATTTTCCTGAAGGTAATGAAAAGATGAAAAAGATTCACAATGTCCTCTACTAGAAAATATGTAGGGAAATGGGCATTTTATACACTGTTAGTAAGGATGTGAATTTATATAATCACCAAAACTTTTCAGGACCTATTTTTTCCCATTTCGCATGTTTGGACCAAGTAATATTTCCTCCTAACTCTAAAATACCCCTTCATTTACATTTTTAAAAAATACCTGTGAGAAGCACAGGGCAGGAATTCTTTAAGAGAAGGCTCATGAGAAAAGAAAGGCATGTTGTGTCTCTGGTAGCAACATAATTAATGTACTCTCCACATTCTATCATCTTCAATATGTTGTCACCAGATTCTTGAATGTCAGTCAGTAATGAAGTCCCTAAGTTAAAAAAGAAAAGTTTCTAATGACTTAGAAATATTAAACTAACATTTTGGGTACTTAATACTTTCTGAAAAAAATTCAACATATTATAAAGAAATTTAACTATTTTAAAGATTGACATTTGTAAAAGTAAAAAATAGCCAAACATAGGCAATTTGATGTAAAATAAAACAGACACACAAATATAAATCCAAAAAGAAACTTTCTTATAAGCCATTAAAAGATTTTTTTCTGATCAGTATCATTCCATTTAACAAATGTATCATGCAAAATTTTTCTTTTTTTTACTCAGTGCTCTACTTATGGACATTTATGATGTTTTCAATCTTTTGCTATTACAAACAAGTCTGAGTTAAGTAATACACATATGTTATTTCACATATATGTGGACTAATTTTTTTATAAGTAGAGTTTTGGATCAACATAAACTGTCATATGATATATAATTTGATGGATATTGACAAATTGCTCTCCAATATTTGAGAGTCTATATCTTCATGCCTTCGTGAAAGGTATCAAACTTCTTGATCCTCACCAAAATTACAGGTAAAAATTATATCTAATTGTAGATTAACTTGAATTTCTCATATATGAATCAACTCTTTATATGTAAGAAGTGTTTATTTTTCTATGAATTGTTTATTCATATTCTTTATACTTTTACTTATAGTTTATCATTTTAAGGTATTCTTGAGTTTCATAAATATTTTAATATCTGCAAATAATAAAATCTAACCATCTCCTTTTCAAATTTACATATCTAATTTTTTTCTCTTTTTTAACTGCATTGGTTAGCATCTTCAAAACAACATTAAGAGGTTGGGGCTGTAGCACAGTGACAGTACTTGACTAGAATGTACGAGGCACTGAGTTGGATCCTTAGCACCAGATAAAAATAAACAAATAAAATAAAGGCATTCTGTCCATCTATAGCTATAAAAAATTAAAAAAAAAACATTAAGTTGAAATGTTGGATTTTAATGAAAATGCTTCCTTTTCTCTTTAAGTAGGTTGTTTTTGTTGTCATTTTTTCCTTTATAACTATTTTTATTTGTTCTTTTTAGATATATATGATAGTAGACTGTATTTAAACATGCTATACATACAGAGAGAACAATTTATTCTAATTAGGATCCCATTATTGCAGTTGTAGATGATGTGGAGTTACACTGGTCGTATTTGGCTGCATTTTTCATCTCTAGAGGGTCTGTTTGATTCTTTTTCAAATTGTGCCACATTTTCATAGTTTTTGATTCTTTTCAGGTATTTTCAAGCTTATTTTTTATTTCTTTAAACATAGTAAGTATGGATGTCTCAGAATATATAGCCGGTAATTCTAGTCATTCAAGTCTTGTTAATTTATGGTGATAATCTTGATTCTGCTAATTACCTTTAACTGAGTATTAAATTTGAAAATATTGTTTGTATGAATAATATATGATTTAGGAAAATAGTCCTATTCTATTAGCTTTTTAGTGGATGCTAGAAAATAGTCACAGATAACCTTAGTTCAAGATTTGAGGTTCCTTAGGTCACTCAGGATAGGGTATCTGGCCACGTAAGGGCTCGCTTAAGGTAGTTCACCTTTCTACAGAGGGGAGAGCCCTTAATAGGTCAGATTAAATTATACGTGTTTGTGTGAGAGAGAAAGAGTGGAGGGAAAGAAGCTTTGGTTTTTGTCCTCCTTGAACATTTAACAGTCAACCTGACTGATAAAAAACATGACTGTTTCAATCAAAATTATGTGTAGATTGTTAAATAGATATTATATCCTCAATAAGCTGTATAGAGCATAATTTTCAGCACTGTTAATTAATCTTAATTACTACACAATTCATATTTGAACTCCTCAAAGATTAGTGGAAATTGAAGTAAAATATATAACTCAATTCACATGCAAAATGTTTTCTTTCAATAACAATTCCACCATGATAGTAGGAAAAGGAATTCTGCATCATGATTTATCACATCTGTGCTCAGTGATAACCCCATAGAGTTTTAAGTCCAGGAGAAAGCACTTCATGTAGTTGTTGTGGATTTCTCCTTCAGTCAGCTTTCTATGCAATAATACCAAAAGGTGATTTTTTTCCTTAAGCATGTCTAAGATGCCCAATCTACATATTGTGGTTTACTGCAGGGGAAACATGGTATTGTGACATTAAAATTATCATTACAAGTTTGGTTTAAAAGTTCAGGAGGGTTTTAATTGCTTCTATGTCCTTTGCATACAAGTAGGGTAAGTTGTCTCCAGAGAAGTGAATGTTTTAGATTTGGAGAAGGTGTTGAATTATAGGCAAATGATATTCAGTTATATTTCCATCTAGTGGCAAAAAGCTAAAGATAAAAATGCCCCCAATATTAGCACTAACATGAAATAGAATCTGTGATCTCTCACCAATGCTTATTGTGACAAAACAATGTGCAATATAACTTTGGTATTTCCAACAAAAATAAATTTGAAATTAGAACTTTCTGGATGCCTATGATTCTGACAGCTCTGGTTGGTTTCTGTCAAAAACTCTTGCAACCAAACTTTGAAATTATTTGATGAGAGAAACCTGACTTCAGTTATTCATTTCAATTTCCATTCATTAAACTTCTTATACTGATTCTCCTCCTTGATGATGTGATTATATCCAAATAAGCCCATGGTAAATTGAAAATGTTGTTAAGTCAAAAGCATTTGATACACCTAACCTACTTAACAGCATAGTTTAGTAACAGTACACTGTAGAGTATTGGTTGTTTCCTCTTATATTCCTATGATTACTGCCACTGCCCAATATTGCAAAAGAGTATGATACTGCCTATTGCTAGTCTGAGAAATGATCCAAAATTTCAAATTCCAGTATTGCTAGTCTGAGAATTGATGCAAATTTCAAATTCCAGATTTGAAGTATGGTTTTTACTGATTATGTGTTGCTTTCACACTACCATAAAGTTGAAAACTTGCAAGTTGAGGACCATCTGTATTTGTAAGAACTTGACAAGAAGCCTGACCATTAAGTTCCTGCCTTAAACTTCTTCCAAGCTCTTAAAGTGCAACAAGTTTCTATGTCTTTTTTTGTTTTATGTAGAAGCAGAAGATTGAGAATAAAAATAATTTAGCAAATATGGATGTTCACCAAACGATGGTATTTTTTTCTAATGAGTAGTTTCCTATATAATCAAGTGTAAGTTCTTACATACATACTTTTCCTATTTTAGATGTGAACCTTACCATTTTCTCCTTTCAATAATCATAGCTAATTGAAATAATAAATATTGTGATTAATAAGACTTTCGATGAACTCAGTTTTACAATGTGCAAATGACTCAAAATACTCCAGATTTCTCATAAAGTAGTATTCAAAAGTTATTTTTAAGGCACGTTTTGTAAATGCGGATCCAAACTGGTCTCTACACAAATTTGGAATGTATTAATAATTAAAGTTGCTGATATATAACTAATTTTACAAATACAGTATCCTCAGCATTTTGAAGAAATTACAAAAAATTACAAATTACAAGAAATTTGTATAATTACCCTTACCTCTTTGAATTATTGTCTGAATATTAGGAACTAAATCTGACCAAGGTATGAATTCACATTGTAGTATGTCCACAAAATACCCAAAGATAGACTGTTCACCAGTTGGTAGACTGATACCTACATTTGAGATTGATAAATAGATCCACATAAGAAAGAGATTTATTTAAGAATATGAACTCTAACTGAAATATATGATTATTAAGAAAGGTATGTCCAAATATATTAAATAAGTCTGTCTTTTTTTCATAATATTTAATTGTATAAAAGCAAAAACTGATTAACTTTTTGTCCTTTTTATAATCCAGAAATTAAGGTGAATTTTGATCTGATAGCCTTGAAACCTTACCCTAAAGTTCTGTTTCTTATTATGTAAACACACATGATGTTTTTAAATGATAGAAATGTACTGGTTGTGGCTAAACCAATACATAAGAGAATATTGATACTTATTTGTAAATCACATGTATTTTCCATTTTAAAAGTAATATATTTTCTCAGTAGAAAATTGTTGAAGATACTGAATAATGAAAAGCAAAATAATTAAGCAATTATTTTACTATACAAAGATAACAATGTTAATATTTAAAATGATAAATGTATATATGTAAAACAGTGTTAACATACACCTTATAATTTTTTGCCTGTTTCAATCTTTCAATTTATCATAGAGACAAATTAAAAATCTCTTATAATTTTAGAATTATTTATTACCTGTTAGAATTCTATCAGATTTTGCTATTAAAAGACTATATTGTTATATTCCTACAAGTTCATGGTTGTTTTATGTTTTGTGGATTTTTTGTTTGTTTGTTTGTTTGTTTTCGTACTGGGGATTGAACTTGGGCACTGAGCAACATCCCCAGCCCTATTTTTAATTTTATTTTAGAGACAGGGTCTCACTGAGTTACTTAGTGCCTCACGCTATTCCTTTGCTGAGGCTGGCTTTGAACTCATGATCCTTCTGCCCCAATCTCCCAAGCCTCTGGGATTACACCTTGGCCAGCTAGGGTTGTTGTTTTTTAATGTAGTGTTTTTCTCGAATCCTCTTTAATCTTTTGGCATAAATTTTACTTTATCTTATAGTATTGCTATTCTTTTTTTTTGTATTTGCATCACATAATTATTAATTACTTTCTGTGTGCTTCAAATCAATATGCTATTTTATACATTGTTCTAACAAATTAAAAGTTGATTTTTTAATCCTATTTTTCAAAGACAACAAATACCTTAGTACACTTTAACAACTCATCGAAAATTCCTTTATTTTGTGTATAGCTTTTACATTTTTAATAAAACATTTCTAGTTTATGATCTGCCTGACAATAAATCAAGGTAGTTTATCTATCTTTAAAAGTTAGCAGGTGCTGAGATTGTGGCTCAGTGGTAAAGTACTTGTCTAGCAAGTGTGAGGCCTTGGGTTTGATCCTCAGCACCACATAGAAGTAAATAAATAAAATGAAGGTATTGCGTCCAAATACTTCTAAAAAATAATTTTTTTAAAAAAAAGAGGCATAAAATTGAATAGTTAACTTCAATAACAAATTAACATGCAATGCTTTGAAATTAAAAGTTAATTTCTATAGGAAATTACATAAAACTTGTCATCCAGATGTTTATATATATGTGCATTTTTGACTGTGAGGATTGAACACAGGTCCTAGCAAAAACTACGCATGCGCTGTCTTATTGAGCTACACCTCTGCTCCCATCCAGATGTCTTAAATGGAACTGTTTACAGTAATTCAGAAGACTGAATTAAGAATTAAGACTGCATTGATTGAGCACTTAACTATGTACCAGGCAGGCTCTATTCTACGTACCTAGCACATCACTTAATTATTTCATTTTATAACTGAGATAATCAAAGATTAAAAATATTTAGTAGCCAAATATATTTGGGATATGGTTCAGTTGGTAGAGTCCTTGCCTTACATGCACAAGGTCCTAGGTTCAATCCCCAGCACCACACAAAAAAGATCCCATCTTTGTTTTACAAGGTTCTTCTAAATACATTCATATTTTGTCTCTTTTTGGTACCTGCATTAACAATCTCTTTATCTATTCAAAGTTTCTTTAATCAGCAACAGCTAAATGGGAAGGGTAAGTATTTTAGGTTACTAGGATAGATTCCACCTGTTAGAACTGACATATAAATACAAAGCACAAGACTTTATAAAATAACTCAGAATTAAAATAAAAATATAAGACTAAATATTCTGCTCCTGCAGAAGTTCCTGCTACATGGTGGTGTGGATAGTATGGATCGTTACACAGCTGATGGGCTAAGGCTGAGTTCATAGTTCTAAGGCTTTCCCTTTTGCTTCACTAGTGTTCTAGCTTCTCATTGCATCTGGAACCAATCAGGAATCTAATTTTCTTTAACCCCCTTTCATTAGCATAAAGGTGTTGTTTCTTAATACTATTTTACCTTTAATCTTCACACTTCAAATGATGGGCCTAGTCAATATAAGTACAATCATTGCTTCTAATTAATATTTTAAAATAAGCAAAACAGAGCTGGGCTGTGGCTCAGTGGTGGAGCGCTTGCCTGGCATGTGTGAGGTACTGGCTTTGATTCTCAGCACCACATATAAATAAATTAATAAATAAAGTAAAGGTCCATCAACAATTTAAAAACTATTTTAAAATAATAAGCAAAATAATGATTCCTCCCAGCCAGAACTTACCTCCTTGTGAATTGTCTTCAAATAATTCACGTACAAGTTTGTCAAAATCATAGGTTACTTCCGAAACAGAATCAGGCTCAAAAGCTGGATAAAATAGTGTATCATCTTCATGCTTTAAACTTCCTCCAAATGCCCAAGTAAAAGCAAACACAAAAAGCTTTTGAATCATTATTGTTAATTTATCAGGATTTTTCTCCAGATACCACAGATTTTCATTGCTGGGTAGAAATGAAAGGAAGGGTGAAGGTTTAGTTTTAGAAAGCAGCTCAGAAATTTCTTTCAATATATAAAAGTTTCATTTTTATTAAAAACTATAATATAGTTCAAGTGTTGACAGAAAAGTTTTAGAATTAATGTATAACTGTTCCTTTGATAAGTCATGTAAATTAGTTACTATTTTTAAAGTCCCATATGTGTAAGAGATCTGTAGTCAACCTTTATTTAATATATTCCTTTATATATTTTAAAATTTAATTCATTCAAATGTATCATTTTTATATTTCTAAAAGTATGTTTAACATACATTTTAATTTAATACATATATACATGTATAGTTAATTTATGTACATATTTTAATTTAATGTATACACACATTTCATTTTTATTTTAGGCTAATTAAGTAGCTGCAAGTTTATTTGTCTTTTGAGAGAAAATATGATAATTCTTCACTTTATGTAGATATAAGCAAATAGTATTCACTCTATATTCTTCTCAGCCAAATCCTAGAGGTTGATTTAGTTTAATGTGGCTAATCCTGGGCAGGGTGAATCTGGTGAGTATTTTCTAATCTAGGTCAACTCAAGTCACTCCTGGTTCATGAAATTCAAGTCCTACTGTGATAAGGCTGGTGTTGATCGGGCTGGACAGAGATTTAAGCCTGATCTCAACACACTTTGTATATCACCAAACTGAAGTTTATTAGCAACCTTTAATGTGTAAGTATTTACACAATCTTGTCTGAAATTTCTAGCCCTGTGTAATATGTGATAGTTCTTTTGGCAAATATTATTGAGTGGCTATAACACATCAGTTACTCTGAACAAAATCAGAATCCCCTTTTCACAGGAAAGGAAAATTAATACTAAACCATGATAAGAATAAAGAATAAAGAGTCAAGCATATCATGAAGAATAATAGCAGGGATAACTAATTTAGATTGCAGAAGTTAGGGAAGGTCTTTTTTGACGCACCAGTTAAATTGATACCTGAAGAATGATTGGGCTTTGGCAAAACATAGAAGTATAGAATTTTGAGCAGAAGGAACACATGTGCCAAGACCTTGAAGTCAAAGGATCATTGCTAGTTTGAGGAAGTGGAGGGAAACAAAAGCCAGTGTCACTGAAGCACAGTTAGAGGAAAGATTAGGTCATAACTCTGGAGAGATGGACAGGGACTTTTTAAACTAGCCAAGATATTTTTCTTCTACTCAGAGTAATGGGAAGTTATTAAGTTTATATTTTATAAATATTCTTTTATGGCTACTCAACTATTTCAATTTTTTTTTTAAATCTCCAATTATGTTGAGAAATGACTAGAAGAATTGGGGAAACAAATTGGGAGTCTATTGCAACAGTATAGGAAAGAAATGATGGAAGTTTGGGCTCAGATGTCATAATCAAGACGGAGATAAGTGAATAGATGTGAAGGCAGAGCTGACAGTGGACAAAATAAAATTTATTTTTTAGTTTTTCGTGGACACAACATCTTTATTTTATTTTTATGTGGTGCTGAGGATCGAACCCAGCGCCCCGTGCATGCCAGGCGAGCGTGCTATCCTTTGAGCCACATCCCCAGCCCCGGAAAGTCTATTTAGAATGTCTTCTTTTTCAAAAGTGAATGTGACATGAATGGTCTCAGAGACTCATAATGAGATGTAGGAAGGCCCCAATAGTAATGCTCATATCATAAAAAAGTAGCAGAAGAAATGTTACACTAATCAATATTCAAAGATATAATTTATTGAGCACTTAACTATGTACCAGGCAGGCTCTGTTCTACGTACCTAGCACATCACATCATTATTTCATTTTATAACTGAGATAATCAAAGATTAAAAATATTTAGTAACCAAATATATTTCATAGCTCATAAATGACAGATTCATATATTAAATTCATGTCATTTTATTCATTTTTCCAATATGTACAGAGACTGGACAGAAGTATCCATATAATCTTATTTTTAAAAAATTAGTATAAAAATATGGTGATTTGTGGACCTGAAGTGGATTTTGATATTATACAATCACAAAAGTACTGGTGTGTTGACAAGTAATCCTGTATGTATTTGAGTATTTGGTTCCTACTAGATTTGTCAAATGAATGTAGCTGACCTCTTTTCTGGTTCCTTCAATTTGGTAGAATCTTTTGTCTCCTTAGTTGAAGTGTTATTCGGATCACCTTAAAAAGGAAAGAGTATTTTTGTGCAATTAATAACAAACCTAAAATTTAGCTAGTTAATTCATGAGGTTTAATTTATAACACTGTTTAGTGGACTGTAAGTAAGAGAATATCTTTTCACATACATCATTGTAGGCAGATTGTAGCTGTCTTCTCCCATCCCTACAAGTTACCCATTCCATAGAGGAACTCAGTTTAATTGATTATTCATTAGTCTTTTAAGCTTATTTTTTTCTTTTTAATATTTATATTTTAATAATAAAGTAAAATATATTTCTCATGGGACATTGAGAAAATAGATAAAAGTATAAAGAAGAAAATAATGCCACCCATAATGCTATTATCCACCATTTTAGAACCATTAAAGTGTTAGTGCCTTTCGTTAAATGGGATAGATTCAAACTAAAAAGTTTTTTCTCCGCAAAAGAAATAATATGTGAGGTGAATAGGGAGCCTACATCCTGGGAACAAATTTTTACCCCTCACACATCAGATAGAGCTCTAATCTCTAGGGTATACAAATAACTCAAAAAGCTAAACAAACAAACAAAATAAATAAATAACCAATCAACAAATGGGCCAAGGACCTGAACAGACACTTCTCAGAAGAGGATATACAATCAATCAACAAGTATACAAAAAAGTGCTCATCATCTCTAGCAATCAGAGAAATGCAAATTAAAACTATTCTAAGATACCATCTCACTCCAGTAAGAATGGCAGCCATTATGAAGTCAAACAACAACAAGTGCTGGTGAGGATGCGGGGGAAAAAGGTACACTCATACACTGTTGGTGGGACTGCAAATTGGTGCAGCCAATTTGGAAAGCAGTATGGAGATTCCTTGGAAAGCTGGGAATGGAACCACCATTTGACCCAGCTATTCCTCTTCTTGGACTATACCCAAAGGACCTAAAAACAGCATACTACAGGGACACAGCCACATCAATGTTTATAGCAGCACAATC